CCAGTGCAGCTGTGGTGCCCCTGTCTGCTGCCAGTGCAAGATGCCCATCTGTTGCCCATCCAGCAGCTGCAAGCCCAGCTGCGCCCAGTCCAGCTGCTGTGTCCCCATCTGCTGCCAGTCCAGCGGCTGCAAGCCCAGCTGCGCCCAGTCCAGCTGCGGTGCCCCCGTCTGCTGCCAGTGCAAGATCTGAGATAATGCCCAGTGCTCTCCCCGGTTCCGATGTCTGCAGGCCCCCTCACCCCCGACACTTCCTGCTGCATGGCCCTCGCGTCTGCATGGCCCCTCACCCAGCACATGAGAGTCCACCTTGTGACTTGGCGTGACCCTCTTCGCCCTCCCGCACACCCTCACGGGGTGTCCCGGCACTCACCACTGGCCCTTTGAGCAGCAAGTGGCTGCGGCCAGTCTTCCTGCTCCTCCTGCCCTGCTCCCGGCCTTGCAGGCCTGGACTCGTCCTCAGGGCCGCAGGGGCCCAGAATGGCCCCGCTGGCCGCTCTGGAGAGACACCTCTGGCAGCCACCTGCTTCGCCGGCAGAGCCCAGTCTGGTCCTTCCAGCGGGTTGCACGTTATGAACTTTCCTTTCAATAAAACAGTCTCTGTGCTGCAAAGCCACATCCTCCACAGTGTGCGCCTCCGTCTTGTCGCTAACACCCCGAGATGGGCAGAGGCTGAACCTTCTCTGTGGGGCTTGGAAGAGGGACATCCAGGGGGCAGGGGGCGCAGAGCCCTGGGCACAGGAGGACGCAGGCAGCCCGCGCCTGTGATGGTCAGGCCATGGGGCTTTCCCCTGGGGAGGAAATGTGCAGCCCCTGCACGGGCTGGAGAGCTCGCGCCCGACTCCCTTGCGGCCGCGCCCCGCGCGAGGAGGCGTGGCCACTCTGCACCGGCCTTCTTGCAGGATCCTGAAAGGCAAATAAAGCGAAAGCACTGAGGGTCCCTGGGCCTGGCAGGGCCACTCAGCCCTGCTGTGAGCCCTCTGTGCAGGGCTGCACCCCTGGCCTGGGCCCAGGTCCCTGTTCCCACTCCAGTGACACTGCCACGCACCCCAGGGTCAGCACCATCGTGGCCACACTGTGTGGCAGAATGACAGCACCTGGACATGTCCTGCCCCTACCCCCAGGCCAGTGAGTACCATGCAAGGCTCTGCAAAGGGGGTCCAGGCCACTGACGGGCTGACCGCCAGCAAGGACACGCTAAGGGTCTCTGTCAGGAGGGGCTGGAGCAGGGAGGGGAGGCCCCGGCCACTGCGCTCAGGTGTGGACGGCCCCGTGTGGCCTCCCCACTGGGGACTTTGCAGGAAAAGACCATCCCCCAGGGTGTCCAACCTGGGTCTCAGCCAGTGACCTCCAGCAGCACTGCAGACTGCCCATAGCCGCCAGCCTGTGTCCAGACCATGAGTGGCTCTGAGGCAGCATTGACCCCTGCTCTATGTCCAAGGAGTTCTGCCCCGCCCCCCCCGCCGGCCCCTCCTGAAGAATATGCAGCCAGAAAGGCTCCAAACGGCACCCCTACCCCGGCCTCCCAGGAGGCTGGTGAGGACCGGGGTGCTTGGCCAGAAGCCTCAGGTCCTTCCACCTGTGACCCTCATCTTCAGGGCGTCCCTGCCTATTCCCAGTGCCCCCAGGGGATTTGTGCAGCCTCCTAGGCACGGCTGCTGCAGTGCTTCTCTCTGCCCGGCAGGTGTTTGGCCAGCACCAGACCCGCCCAGAGAGACGCTCTCCTGCTGGGCTCCTGGGCCACCCGCGGGCGCTGCCCCAGGCCCTGCCCCCTGCAGGTGCTGGGCCTTCCCTCCGCGGTCACAAAGGCGTGGGCTCTGCCCATCCGGAATGGGGTAGCTCCACAGCCGTCTCCCGCAATGGCCACTAGGTCACCACGCGGCGCTCACTGTGGGTGGGTGCGGCAGGCGGGCCTCAGGAGGGCGGGTCCCCGTGTGCCAAGGAGACGTCCTCCTTTACGGCCTGAGCGGCGCCAGCGGGACAACAGAACAGTGAAAGTGAGGGCCATGGTGGGAGGGCTCGCGCGGTCCCGGCGAGCCCCCCACGGCCCATGCGAGGCAGACGGCGCGTGTCAGAGACACCGGGGCCGACCCGACCAGAGTTGTGGGGCCACGCGTGAGGGGCGGGGCCGCGGCGAAGGGGCGGGACGAGTGAGGGCGGGGCCACCGCGAGGGGCGGGGCTACTGGACCGGGAAGGTCCCGTCTGCTAAAACAAACCCGTGAGCTATAAAAAACAAACCCGTGAGCTATAAAAAGAAACAGGAAATGTGACTAAGGCAAGAAAGGAACAATGACAGTGGCCTCAAAGTGATGCAGATTCTGCTGTTAACACAGGGGCTTCAGGCAGCGGTGACTGGGGGCAGCCTGGACAGAATGCCCGCCAGAGGCCAACGGTAAAAACCCTACCCAGGGCCTCCCTGCTGGCCACCGGGCTAAAGCACCGTGGAGCCTCCGAAGCCCCTGCAGCATGAGTTCAATTCCCCGCCCCGGAGCCGACCCCCGGGGCGCGGCAGCCCTCTCCTGACCCGCCCCTGCCCCCGCGGCAGTGGGCTTCGGCCGTCTGCCTGTGCTGCGCCCCCTCTGTCTCTGGGGAAGCCTCTCACCCCCCGCACCTCTGGCCTGCGCCCCAGCTCTGTAGGCATAAATAAATACATCTTTAAAAAAAAAATTCTCCCCAACGAATCAGTATCCTAAAATGGAGAAGCCGAACATGAAACCCAGGACCACCCACTGCTCTGACAGGGCTGACCAGCAGCGGCGGGCGTGGCCTGCACACGCCACTGCTGGGCCCGCGGGCAGGCTGCCCGGCCGGGACGCTGCCACTGAGCGAGGCCCGGCCTCATCCTGTGGGTCCCCCTGGGTTCCAGGCACCGGGGTAGGAGGCCCAGAAGAGGGGCGCAACCCCAGAAGGTGCTTTCGCCATCCAGGGCTTCGGGGGCGGGGCTCTGCCCACCGGGTAACTGTCCTCTGCCTGCCGACCGGTGTGGTCCTGGAAACCAGACCCCGCGCCCGGCAGACTGCGAGCTCAGCCGCACGGGCCCTGCGTCCCGCCAGCCTCCCACGCCCGCCCTCCCGGGCG